CAGGTTATACGGAAAAAAAAAAATAATAAAACTCGCGGTACGGCCCGCGTTGGCGTGTAGGCGTTGTTTGCAGTAGCGGCGACGCGTTTTTCCGTGACGAGGTCGAAGCGGTTTCTGGTAACGCTACGCATGATGACGTCGGCGCCGCGATAATATCCGAGCGGCACACCGTATGAAAAACCCGCTGTGGTGCTCACAATGCGAGCCCGACATACGGTGCGTAATTTTCCAATGACGCATTAGCCGATGTTGCATATTTCCTCCAGGGTCGTGTTTTAGAGGGGGACGGGGCGATCGCCCTACCCCTGAATCCTTATTTGAGGAATTTATTATAAGTGAGATACACGGTTAAAATTTTTTTAATGTGAATCATTTTATAACGAAATCAAATCACGCGTGGTTGTGAATACTGAATTGGTCTTTTTGTCGGATCCGTCTTAGTGAAAAATCAAATAAAATACAAGCGTAACTTTCAAAACACAGACAGGTGTCGAAAAAGAACTACCACTATAATATATAATCGGCATTAGATTAAAAAAAAAACCACAAATATTAAGGATTAACATGATTCAAATATTACCAAAAATTTTACTTGTATATTTTGAGTCTGAATCAAAGAAAAAGTTTGAGTCGCCTCCCTCTCTAGAAGTAAGTCTAAATACGCCTCTCATTCCCTCACTCCGCCTTGTCACTGGTGTGATTTTTTTTTTCATCGCTTGTGGGTATGATTTTTTGATTTTTCGTTTCACTCGCGTCAACCGAACGCTGTCTGAAACCCTTTTGACGGATCGACGTCATCGTCGCAGAAATCGCTGTGCGAAAACACGATTGTTCGACATGTTTTCGGACGTGAGCTGCCACTTAAAAGTCAAACACTGATTCGACACGGTGCAATGCGTTCGACAGCGAATTGTTTACGTGTTCTGCAGCGAAGCGCGATCGCAATAATTATCATAATCGTACGTGTCGTGTGCGTCAGACGGGTCCGGTTAACCCGTTAGGTGATCGGGTTTTTCTGTTATTATTGTTATTATTATTAATACTGTTTTTGTTTCTGTTTTATTTTCTCAGGCGTCTCCAGCGATTCGTGTCACGCACGTAGGGTTAACTTGGGCATCGTGATTGGTCGGGATTTTCCTCCACGGATTCTCGATCGTTTAGTTTGATACGTGGTGACCGGAATCGTGAGAGAGAAAGAGAGACTCTATATTTTTGCTCCTCCCCCGACATTTCACTGGGAGGAACGAAGTATTCATCTTGCTCCTCCTTGGTAAACTGCATAAAAACAATAATAATGTTTTTAAACCGGTCGTAAACTGTGATTACCGTTGAAACGTAATTTTCAAACAAACATATGATTTATACGGTGCATCGTTTGTTGAGACCGAAGTTAATTTTTCAATTGACAGTCAGGGTTAGACTAGCTTTATAGCTCGGCCCGGGCAAAATAATTTCGAACGGCCTCAATGGAACTTTATAAGTAGGTAGATACCTGATCAAATTATTGTTTAACTGAAAATGTATCTTGGTAACTCAAGAAACAATATTCACAAAAGTACATTTGAATATTTTCATATTTAATGTTATACCTTAAATAAATCTAGTTTACGCATAATATATCTTATCTATAATATTGATATAATGACCTACCTATTAAGATAAATTTTACACCATAAAAAATGATTTGACTTAAATATGTTCATACATTTAATTTTAATTGAGTTAGAACAGTGGGGTCGGCAACTAATGTCTCTTTTATGCGGCCCACAGTAAATTTCAAAACTAGCAAATGTCATTGAATATCATATACATTTTTTATATTGTCTGGCTCTAGAACCATTTTTAATTTGTGAATGTGGCCCAAAGGTTGGAAACTAGTAACAGACTTATTATTGACTAAACGTCAAAACTATTAAAATGTTTTTGAATAAAAGTCTAATAAATCTTATAAAAATTATTATTATCGAAAAACTATTTCGTTATCGCATATATTGCGTGAAAATGTCTACCCATACCATGGTCTTAGAAAATTAATCTTCTAAGACCATAACCCATACCAATATTTTATTTTAATAAAATGTTGTTTGAACAAACGCGAACGATATTTCGTATGATTAACATATTGTACACATCTTTTGTATTCAAATTTCCTACAATTTTTCTATTTATAAATATTCTGATGAAATCATTGTTATCAATTGGCCTATCGCGACATTAAAAATGTTAAATTTTCAAACTCCGAGTTACCTAATCCTGTGTCACCGCATCCATTAGTAATATCATGTTACAAGACGATATTTTTTATTTTATCTTACGAATAGAAGATTGACACATTAAATTAAAAACAAAAAAATCTAAGTAATTTTATTTAATCAAAATTACAGCAGCCCACCGGGGCATGCTCCGGTGCCCCGGTGGCCTAGTCCAACCCTGTTGACAGTCTTATGTTATGCATAGCTGTCAAATAGGTGAAAACAATTCTTAGAGAAATAAAAAGGGTACAGTTTCCGCCAAAAATTAGTTATGAAAAACGGATTTCGCTGTAAATGAAACGTATAAAAATAAGATCAATTAGGGTTGTACGGATCCCTCGATACTTAAGGACCACAACCACATTCTTCCAGTAAAGTTACATGTTGGTTGTTCAATCAATTTACATAGAATAACAAAATAACTTGGATAGGTCGTGGTCGTTAATCTACAAGCGAAATAAATATATAAATAAATTCTTTGTATACATTTAATAATTATACAGATTGGAGGTTTATAATTTATGTATATGACGATGAGAATTTAATTCGGGACTGGTCGTACTTTACAAATATTATAATACTCCAGGCTAAGCATTTGTTTATTAATTTCTAGACATAAAATATTTGTTTATTTATTTAAATATTAATATACGAGTAACCATTCAATAATTTTTTATTTTATTATAAGCTGATGAACACTTCGTTATATTATTGAAGTTAATACGAACTCATTCGACTTTACTACGGATTGCAATGCATTATTTTTTCCATTTTGCGCTCAATGTTAAATATACATGTAATAACACTCAATACCTATCATTAACATAATTCGTTAACGGAAAAATCAATGTTAACACGTAATCCTGATTTTTAATCGGATCGACGTCAATGCACGCGGGACAAAATCATTTGCGTCACCACAAAACATACTTAAGATGTATGTCCTGAGGCGACGATCAGAGGGAAGAACAAAAAAAATAATTACGGCAAATCACTTCGTGTGCGCAAACCGAGGCAAGTCGGCAAGTCAAGCGCGTTCAAGAATCAATGTCAATCGATATCGATATTATTGTTATGAAATACATAACGCATATCTACTTTCAAATCCATCTAATAGTATTTACGAGAGCCCGTGACCCTCGTGTCGGACTCATCTGTATTTTAATGATTAAATACTATAAACAAATGGCTCTTATGAAGAATTAAATTAATAAATAAACAAATGCTTAGTCCGGAGTATTATTATACTTATAAAATATATATATCATCATACATTACAAGCATTTATTAATTTCTATATTAATTTACGAGTTTTAACCATTTAATAGGTTTTTATATTTATTTTATTTTTTATTATTTTAATATTATTATTATCCGAGCACTGTTGATGTTCACGACCACCGTTCAAGGGCGTCCGGTCTCGTGCGAATAAAATTACAATACTTCGTTCAAGTACTGCTATTTTATTTCAATACTAGCAGCAGTCGAGTCGGCGGCGATCGTTCGTCGTCTTAAATTGAATATGCTTTTCGCTGCAGACGGTTTCTAGATCTTTCTATCCGCTGCCTGTGCGTACAACAAGTAATTGCGCGTTGTTCGTGAACACATCATACACGAAAAGTTTTGGCCGAGTCAAAATTGCGTATCAGAATTTTCTTTCTCTCTCTCTCTCTCTCTCTCTTTATTCTCCGGTCTCTCCCGTTCTCTTCTTCACCGTTTTTCCTCTATCTGCCGCGTTTGATGTAATCTCCGCGACTCGGATATGTCATGAATACATATGTGGTACAACAATAACGACGACGGCCCGAGGACTCGGTAGACATGGCGAGCAATACATATTTTGGATATCGTCCAAAATAACCATTGTTGATACACAAATCGTATCCTCGAAGATTTTTTCGTACCTACTGTTGGAGTGCCTATTGTAGCAAATTTCGTAAACACATCTGAAAATGACAACGCCCGTCCGAATCGCAGATCTCATCGCTCGACATTAACATATAATACGAGGACACGTTATTGTGTCGTCAAACGGTGCGGAAAACGTTTTTTCTTTTCTGTTCTGCAAACTATTCTGACACAAACACGGGACACAACACGTTTACATTATAATTTAATTACGTATATTATTATAAGAATCGTAGATCATATTACAAGCGGTGTAGATGATTCACAAAATGTCCAAACGACTCTAAAATACGCTTCGATGATATAGTACAATGCTTATTATAATTTATCATATAAAATTAATTTTTACTTGGCAAATGAATGTAATAAAATAACAGTTGTATTTTATTTTAATGAGACCGCGGTAAAGCTTATGAAACGTAATAAAAAAAAAAATAAAATATGAGGAAAGCAATTGCGATTTATATTTATTGGGCAATTTTTATTTCATGCGGTCTTATCGTCGGAAAAATAAAAAAGAATAAGTGGATACATCATTGTGTAGTCGTTATGAATTTTGTATTAAGTGGTTGTGCAGAATAAAAAAAAACCCCCGAACAACTCTGTTGTCTGACGTCAAACGCGACAAAAAAATGCACGTGTGGGAGATGATGAAATTTTTTAAAAAACAAACTCTCTAGTTGAACCAAGCTTCGTATAAATTATATCCGAATCCTTTTTTACAATAAAAGGACATTAAAATAATTAAACGTAGTATACACAGTATAAACTAATATTCGTAGCGTTTAAATTCTAGCGTTTTGATTTGTACCATTAAAAAGAAAAATAAAATACGAAAAATAAAATAAAAATTAAATTATGAATAATAAAATAATACATATAAATCGATCGAGTCTATATATTTTGTTTCGTATGCAACTGGGAACTACACGTGCGGTTTATCTGAGCTTGCTGGTGCTTCTTTTTCGACAGTTTGACGACACCGAATTGTTGGCAGTAAATATGTACGGGGAGTTCACCGTCGGGCAAACAAATTTTTTCATGATGAAGTCCATCGAAGACTCAGATTTCGCGCCGACCGGTTGCATCATGTTGTTCCACAGCAAATTGGCAGCTGCAACGGAAAATGAAAACTATCGTTACACAGAGATGGCGCATAGTGTAATATTTATAAGGACGCGTGGAACACGGTTCACGTTCGAAATACGGAACGTCAAGTGAAACCGTATTGAGACGTGTTCGACGCCGATTCGTTTACCTAGAGCGTGTCCCTTTTGACTGAAGTGGAAGCAGTCGTAGGTGACGTACGATATGTCTATGACCTCTTCGAACTGTCTTTTCTTGTCCAGCGGCGCGTTAAACAGCTTGATGAACGGCTGTATGACCACGGTGAAGTCTTCTTTCTTGTTGTACCGACCGCTGTTGATCTGCGGAGGAAAATCGATGAAAAAATAAATAAATAAAAAACACCGTTAACGTCGACGGACTCGACCTTCGGCAGTCTTAGTGATTTTCCTCGTTTCCACGGGAAAACCGACGCGTATAGACTTACCAAAATCTGTTCGGCAGTCTGATAATCTCGGACCAATTGCGTGATCTGATCCATCTCATTTCCTTTCTGATGGAAACAGGTGCAGAAGAACCTGTGTAGCATATGGCACATGAAAGATCTCTTCACGCGGACGCTGACCGACACGTCTAACCGAAAAAAGCAAACAACATCAAATTATCGTTAAACGGAATTGTTTGCGTCGCCTGTTCGTTGGCATTCATTAATCCGTACAATATATAGTAGCGAAGACGCGTTGGTCCAACAAACGGACCGTCTCGTTCGTTAAAACGTGTACCGTGCGGTATGGAATCGAACTAGAAAACATCGATGATACAGCGACATCGTGTCGAATATACAACTAGTAGCGAAACTTTGGATTTTCGTTGTAACCGACACTCGCAGTCGTACGTACACATACGGTAAGATATAGACGGTACCGATGCATGTATCGACAGAGCGCGCGCGTGAAGTGGTTTTCACTTTTGTTCCGTTTCCGATATAAGCTCTTTTGAAATTTCATTTCGTATGCGCGACGCGTTTCTAGGCGACCGCTGAATGCCAACCGTCCGGGCAACAATTGACGCGCGCAAAACCCGCTTTCCAGGCGGTCGCAAAACGTCGGCGGATGACTCGCGATCACGTGTCGGGGAATAGCCAACGGACGTGACAAATTCCTAATAATAACGCGATGATAGGCGTAGTTAGATAACGAGTTTCGTGACACACAGATGAAACGTTGATTGCCAGGAGTCGATGTGCCGGAAAACAACGCGAGTGCGAACGGATCGCAGAAACGTTCGTCATCCGCGTGCATCATCTACAGCGACGACACGGCGTTTCGACGGTATCGTAAAATATCGTTCGCCAACCGAATCGATACTTCTGTCGAGTGTCCGGGAGACGAGCCCGTAACGGAAACGGTGGCCCGAGGGAGATAGCTGATGTACGGCACATGTGAGTCACAGGGACGGACCGGGCTACAGCACAGTAGGCAGCGGCCGTGAAAATTTTTTTTACTGAGATTACGGAATAGTGAACAGATTACCTGTATATAGCACCTCGGTATCTAATTATGTTTTTGAATTATCTCAAGGCATGATTATAGAAAATCCTTTATACATATTATAAATTATATTATATTGAAATCTAGTTTGAATCAGCTTATTGGCAGTAAATATAGTATTTACCGTGCTTAATACATATCATATATAATATACGAGTATATTAAATACATTTGTATAGACGTTTTATAATAATTAATAATTAATCACAGGTGACAGAATAAATAAATTGATGACTAAGCCCGTGACGGACCGTATGACTGTATTATTATATCCTGTGGTATTGTTCTATTGTGATACCTGTTTTTGGCTTTTACTTGTCAAAATAATATTTTGTCTGAGTTTTTCTGATGGTGGGCGCGAGGACAAAGTAAATTGTACGTTTTATATTTACTATAAACGGTTAGGTTAAGATATTTTTAATTATTAATTCAAAATAAAATAAATTAATTCACAAAAAATAATATTGTATTTTCATTAAACTCCACTAATTCTGTGTATATTACTTTAAAAACTTATCCTTTATAGAACAAAGTAAATTTAATTTGTGCAGTATCATGGGACATGGATTATAGATAACATCATATAACTAATCATGATTGTTGAATATAATGGTTATAAGAAAGTGCTCCCCCCCTAACTTCTTTAAATCCTATCAAATATAAATTGCGTGAAACAAACACATTTAAAAATTTCCAAAATAATACATTGTGGGCCGTCTGTTTACCTAGAATAGTAGGCCGATCCCAGTCCGGGACTGCATGTGACCCCTGAATTTGCCGGTTAATATTCCGCATAAATTACACTGTTTGAACGAAATTATTCATAATTGTGTACGTGTTGACTTGATAGCGGTTCGTCGATGACGACTCGGTTTTCGGTCCGTACACGATAGCGCGCACGGTAAACGTCGGTAAACGGGAAAAGTCGTAGTAGCAAGGACGGATCCAGAGCCTTGGTTAAGGGGGAGGGGGCCAATTTATAATTTTTACAACACAAATTCAAGTCGTCTATTTCTAAAATTGGCAAATATATCAATAATATGATCTATTTGTTCTAGAATATGTACTTTAAGATATACATTAATAAGACATAATGTTGATAGTCATCCTTGAACGAAGCCAGGTTTTTAGTGTCCGAAGTGTGGAGAAACTCGTTTCGACCGTCATACCTCTATGGCTCTATTTACATACTTGTGCTTGTCGTATGATAGTGCATATTATAACATGCATTTTTTGTCAATAATATACTTTTTTTATAAATACGGTACGGGCTTTTAGGGGGGCGCGGCCCCTAGGCCTCCCCTGGAGCCGCTCCTGCGTAGTAGCATTAGTTGACGCAATGTTTTCAGGTGCACGTTAAAAGCTGCATCGTAAAACGTTTTTTTCCAAATCCGAACCCGACGGCCGGAAGGGGGGGGAAATCGTACTACGACAATATTGTAAGTAATAAGAAAGCGCCTGGCTAGTCGTAAAACGGTTTACGACGGTGTTGCGCGCACGGACCGCGATGTTCAACGGTTAAAATGTGGTGTTTATGATGTAGTGTATATCACGACGTCGTATTCTGACGACGTAACGACGGCGAATTATCGTCGACTTAATAATCAGGTATTACCTAGTCGATTTGGAAAAACGTATTACGATGTGAATCACGGTTAATGTTATAAAATCGATTGTCGCAATCGCATTAACATGTACGGTGTGTGTGTGTGCGCGCGCGTGTGTGTACTACGACCGACCGAAGCGTATTGTGTAACGGATATACAATAACGATAGTAAATAATGTACATGTGCCCGCAGTGAATGAACGGTAATGATAATGCATTTCATTCCGTGGGGTCTGGGTCGTGAAAGCGAATCGGTTCTCATTCACAACGCGAACCGTTCGACTCGACCGGACTTACGGCGGCGAAGTTCGTATTATACGTGCAGTGGTTTTCTATCCCACTACGGTACGCGCATCCGTATACAATGCTGTAAAAATACGTCTACGAATACGTCTGCGGTCGTTTTAACCTTGTGCGCGAGAACGCCGTTTTCACTTCCAATAAATACCTACCAACACGTTCGTGTACGAAGCCGCCGCCGCCGCCGCCGCGTGAAAACAAAATGCAACGAGTGTCCTCCGCGTGCGTACCGTTTAGCGCGCGCAGGAATTTTTTTTCGGTACGGTACTCACCTAGGACAGGCACGAGATTCACCAACGTCCTGGGAAGGTTGGCCTGGAGGTAGTCCAACGCTTTTTGCAGTTTCTTGCTGTGCTGCAACGGAGTGGTGCCGTCTTTGTCGTAACACTGCCCGGAACACAAGTCGTTGGCACCGAAAAACATGGTTATCAACTGGCAAGAAACGGAGGAGAACAAATAAATAAATATAACGAATACACCCAGTAAATACGATTGTTACACGCGTACGTTGTTGTCACAGCACTTCGAGCCGCGACCCGGTACGCGCAGTTTGTACGATACGTGTGTGTGTGTGCACAAGACGGTTTCGTCGTACACTATATTGTGTTATTACGTGTACAGAATACGTGTCATACCTTCCAATCGTTTTTCAAATCAATGTCCGGATCTCTTTTCATTTTCTTGGTCAGGAACTGCGCTTGTCGGTATGCGTCGAAGTCGGCCGACACGGGGAAAGCGACGTTCATGCGAGAGTTGGGCGCGAGGAACTCGCCTTTTCCCACGGAATAGCCCTTCAGCCTGGGGTTGAACTCCTTGAGAATGTTCGGTAACGTGAGATAGTCCCGCCACGTGGCTTCGCCGCCTGCGATCCACACATAAACGTACATAATATATAACGATAATTATACGAGCGAGCCACGAAATTTGCTCGTGGAAACGTGTCATAAAAACGTTTCCTCGAGCAAAAGACGTACACCATATATATTCCGTTGGCAACGATGATGGTATTTTTTTAATTTTTTTTTTCAACAATATTTCGAAAAACATTTGTATTTTACAAATACAACCAACGGTTATCATAACTACAATAATAGGTACGCGTCGCCCGAACCGTACCCGCGTTTCGATCGATCTTCATGACCATGCACTCGGAACACCTAAAGGTAATATTTACATAGATCCGCATCGAACAGTAAGTAGGTTTTTTCTACTGTACAATTAATAACGAGACCGAATAGATATATTACCACGCCTAATTATCGTACACGGTATACGAAGTGATGCCGCCGTTCGAGAAACTTGATATTATTTCAACATTTAAATAAAACCACATTTTGACACGACGAGACATAGTAAACGCGTAGTAAATCGAGATGTCTGCGTAACGATTTATTTCGAAAATCAATTTTAATCGATCGATAAAACGGTACCGGGACGTATTGCGACTTCAGGCCGTATTAAAATAATATTGTACCGTGCTAATAAAGTCGAGTTTGGATGTGTTCGAAAAACGATCGTCAATTACGAGATCCCTAATTTAAAAGTTATATAAAACGAGAATTATGTGACTGACCAAACGGTTATCACGGAGTTGCGCAACGTTGCGACGACGTACGCTCGGAACTATATAAGAATAAGTGTACACCGATCGAGGGAAGCGAAATGCCTGCAAACGGGTCGTTATTAAACTTCGCCCCGACCACGTCCACGGTAGTAACTAACGGTAACCGGAGGATACTACGTGGGAATATTAAAGATCTGACGTGAAATGGGCTTTTACAATGGCGCAACAATCATATTTTCACGGAGAAAGCGGTGCACACCTATGTTTGTTGTGTTACGGGTGTATCACGGGTTTTCAACGCCGACATTGATAAATGCGCACGGTCCCGCGAACGAGCGAATAAGCGTGGACAAGATTTACGCGAATAATCTATCGGAGTCGTAAAACGCGCTCATCACGCTCTTATCGGGGCTTTCCCTGGATCCTGCGTCCATTTTCGAATTGACGGTCGGTACCTAATTGAATCTGCGTAAGCGCACTTGATGTTAGTCGTGGGCAGTACGGCACAATAGAATGATTACGAAACGTGTGTGGTACGAAATGATTATGTGCAAAGCGAGTCTGCGGTGCCGTTTGCTACAACTCATGCATTTGCTACAGTCTATCATGCTACATTATCAAAATATAAAACACGTCTTTTACAAATCCATTGACACACTGTAAATCAGAAAAATGAGACGTGCAATACATATGTATTTATGTACCGAGTACATCAAATCATTATATTTTGACATCTGCCTGCCGAGCGTAGCGTTTGATTTGTATGGAGGTAAAAATGTCAAGTCCGTGTTTACCTGCAGCCCAAGAGACTCCTCGGTATTCAATCAACGTGCCCATCGCGTACTCCTCGAGAGCCCCGTTGCCGGCCACCAGACTGTCGCCCATAGCGCCCACCACGTCGATGTCGCCGGGCCGGAGCTTGTGGACACTGGTGGGTCTGACGATGCTTCTGCCCAGCCCGGGGGCCGTCATGTTCTTGCATGGGAACGGCATCGACCCCGGGAACGACGGCTGCCTCCTAATGCCCGTGGGCCCGGGCGTCATGACGATTTCGTCGCTGACGGCCGGCGTCTGCGAAAGCATATTAAAACATATAAACGAACGGTCAGTGCATACGTGACCCGGTTGTACCGCGGTCGTGGTTACCGACCATTCGCACGGTCCTGCCATTGATCCTGGTCGGCAGCAGCTGTTGGTAGGTCACCCTCTGTGCGGTGGACCACGCGACCGCGCAGCAAAGCAATATTAAATAGCAGCTATTGATCGGCATCGCTTGGTCGGTCAACGTAGTGTGTCATTGTGCGTCACTTATCTCGCGACTCCATCCCCGAGGAAAGCTGCGCACAGGATGGACGGGAAAACGAAAACAAAATCAAAAAATAAATAGACGAACAAAATAACCGCAGCCGGAAAACGTCCGTGCCGGACGTCATGCGACCGCGGTCGATTAAGAGTGTGCAATCAAGCGTCGGACTTGGAGCGATGGGCAGACGACTAGTGCGATCACACGGTGCACGTCGAAGTGTGTCCCATTACACATTGTGCAGTGTGCACGGTCGCACGCGTTTCGCGTACAAATAGATTCTGCGTTTCGTCAAAGAGAAAGGAGCGTGTCAGGTTTATACGTGCCCGATGCGGGTGATGATTGTATGGTTCCCAGTGTTTTCTCGGTCAAACATTTCGTACAAAACCTATACATCCACTCTGAGTAGAGCTGTCGTGTTTGTTTGGTTATGAAAGATGCGTTTGTTTTGTTTCTTTTGTACGCCCGACGTGCGGTACGTATTTGGAATTTTCAAAATTTCAAATAAAATAACGTAAACACGCAATACACGCGCGCCCGCACCGGTACGATTGTTTTCCCTGTTCAACGCGTGATATATTGTACGTTATACGTGTGTTTACCGGTGTGCAATGTTTACGAAATCGCGTAATCTTTACCGTTACCAAATAATACGTTATGTGTTTAATTGTACCGCCGCCGTGGCGTCGTCGGCCGACAGACGGTTTCGACGAGAAAACCATTTCTGAAAACAGTGAATTTCTATTGAATCAACGCGGGCGTCGCGAGAACACGAGACACGAGCCAGCCGGCCGCGCGACACATTCTCATAACTCCGAGTAAGCGGTTTCGTCGAGTTTTCAGTGACTGCACCCCGCGGTTGAATCACGTTGTCACATCGTTTCGGTGACGACAATGCTAAGCACGACGCGCCCAATACTAAACGGGTCGTGGATGTGCGTGCGACACAAACCTCCGAATGCGTTAATATCGATTAGAATACTGTTTCGTCGAGGTGCGCGAGTAATCGGACCCAGTGGCGGATCTAGGATTTTATCATGGGTGGAGGGTATAAAATATTTTCGTACATAATATGTATAGGTATAATAAGCTTTATTCTACTAAACTTACAGAACAAAATTTAATTTTCTTGATGACTGGTCCTCTATGGCTGTATTCCGGGTCACGATATAAATACGAGGTGTATATCTGTAATCTGATATGAAGTTACATACTAATGTATACTAGTGTATCCTTCTTGGTTACGAAGTAATAAAAGAATAGTTTTTATTTAAATTTTGCATGCAAAAATTGAATTGGTTGCAAAAATAATTTTTTTAACTCTCGGTCCATGGGGAGGGGGGGAATCTATCCCTCATATCCACCCCCGTAGATCTGCCACTGATCGGACCCATTTTCAAATGAAACACATGAAATATGTACGAATCGCGTTTTCGAACGCAATACGAAACAAGGCTTAAAATGAAATAATTAAATTTCTTTTTTCACAATCAATAACAAAACGGAAACCGTTATCGTATCGTGAATCTAATAACGCACCGTACAAGCAGACCCGATGGCTCGTCGGATCCAAACTCAGGTCGATTTTTCAGGCATCTTAATGGTTATTGAGATTCGATCGGGACTTTTGATGACGGTGCACTGGTGTTCGAACACCCCCGTTGTACGCCTTTGTTTGGGTACGCGTCGTGTTAAAAATATGCAAGTCATGCGAACCGACACGTGCGGGCGTAGCGTTTTAAATTACCCGAGAACAGCACACTTTAGCCGCGCGGCTGTGGACTACGGGCTTATGCAGACGATTCTGTGGGCTTCGTCGCGCACGTAGATGATCGAACGACCGGACGAGAAACGTTGATCGTTCGCGAAGAAATTAAAAACTTAGTATCGATGTCCGAAAAAACCGCAAACTTTCTAATAACTTTTCTAAGGTATGGTAAAAATAAGAAGAAAAAATAAATATCTATTGCCATTGTGCGTGTGCGTACCTACCGGAGATGAAACCCGAGTGAGTTTCGATCGTGCTGCCCGAAGTCATGTCGCGGATACGTGTTACGCGGTGTCCTACCGAGAAACGCGGAAAACTACCGACGCAGTGGCTCGGCAAGTGGATTTCATTTGTTTCGGGCCCAGTATATTGCGCGTAATCGACGGAGAATATTAGATGGAAAAGAGAGAAAACAAAATAAAATTATCCAATGCCGAAGACGAATCACATGTAATAAACACTAGCGAGCGTGAGAACCTATTGGTGCAGGCGCGGAGAGGTATACAAACCCTTTCTCCGGGGCGCCTACTACTCATTGCAGACATGTCAACGTACTATTACGTAACGTGACGTCGGTGACCGATCACGGCAATGTCAATCGTTCGTCGATAATGTTCGCGCTATCTGCAATCTCTTTTGCGTCCGCACCACTGTTCTGCCGTAACAATAAGAAGTAATATTTTCATCGAACATCGTGTGTAAAAGCATTATACTCTACGTAGTTTTTTAATTAACATCGCGGTAATAAATTCCATTGATTCCAGACAAACTTTGTTGACATCACAAACTGTTCCATCGCACGATACCCATCCCGCGGACATCAGTCATCACCGTCGTCTCACACATAATTTCGCTAAAATACACGTTTATCGTGAGACTTTATTTTTACGGATTAATAATCGATAGCGATGTCAATGTACTACGGATACTCACTTCTTTCGCCTCGTTATTACATTTCCTTTAATGTTATCATCCTCTTATTTACTGTATTATTTTGCGCGCAAGGATTTTACGTGTTAGTTTTACGAGAAAAACATTAAAAATGAATATTACACGAACGTGAAACGAGTATGGATGTGGTTAGCTAAGTTTCACGTGTTCCCGATGGAATCCCGCGCAAGGCTAATCCACGTGCGACCGGTTCCTGATGTAAATGCAAAATATAAAACCTGGGTATTGAATTTGCCAATTTCCACCGTATCGCATCGCGTTTGTACACACGTACATATATATTATGTTACAATAATAATATCGGATTGTAAAACATGATTTTTTTTCCTTCTGATATTTACCGGAAGAGGTATTGATAGAAACGAGCCATAAATAATATCAGACCGAAACTTTCCAAACGTGAACATTTTCAATACGCGAACGACGAAATTTAATATACGAATACGCAAAAATATGATCACCGAACTCGTGTTCACGTTAACATTTTATACTATAATAATCGTTTACTAGGTATCTTGTTTGACGTTATAATAATAATAATAATAATAATAATAATAATAATAATAATATTATTATTACGTTTCACTTTGCAGGACGATTTTTGTTGCGGACGCAAAACACACGCACGTTCAAAAATGAAACATTTCGACTTGTTTTTTTAATTTTTCAGTTCGTTTATATTCTCGATTATCGCGATAGGAATAGCTTTTAACATCATTTTATGAACTATGCACTTCGCATGTGTAAGAAGACTATACGTAACTCGTTCGATATCTTGGTGATATCCGGTAATTCCGTGTTTCCATCTTCACATTCAGCGTCAAATTTTCTTATAACAATATCTTCTTATACTTAACGAAACGTTTGAACGCATATCCGTTGTGATTACAGTGATGTAACCGTTCGAAATGTTTGTTAATATTTAGTAGCTAAATTAAATGTCGAAGCAATAATAGATGCTATTTTTTTTTGTTCGATACAGAAAAAAAAATTAATATCATAACAAACTCGATTTTAACTGTTTATCACTATGTATTTCTACATCTCCGCCCAATTAGTACCTGTGAGGGACTAGTATGTTAAACTTTGCTCCTGTGGGGTCTAATCAGAGGATTCGTTCACTTTCGGTTCCATATACATACTTAAAATTTTAGCTCAACGAATCCGGTCTTCCGTCTTCGTACTGCGTGCACGCGTTTTAATCGATCTGTAATTAGGTTTTGAGTTCGGTTTTGTTCGTTCACGTGTTTCATCATAATATGTATACTATATTATGATAATCTTCCATTACAATAATACACATAATTTAATAATAATAATAAGAAACAAAAACCGCTGCCAATACGTGTTTCGAGTGACAATCGAACGGCGTTCGTAATAATTATATTATGTATTCGATTTATGTGTCCGTTGCAACCGTCATTGGAATTTCGTATAATACTCGGCTACGGCGATAATTGTTAGGTAATTAATTCCTAATTTCTATCCGGTCATGTAATAGTATATACGTCCGAATACGAAAAACGGTTTTCGACTGCTCAAACGGTATCATCGGTTTCTGGCTTCCACGCGGCGACCAAACGATTCACGTCGAATCATGTAAGTACTTACTACAACGAACGTAACTCGCTCAACTCGTTGAGCATAATTTTTTCGTGGATCTGTCGTCAAGGTACACCATTGAAACATCGATACGGTTACAGTGGGTTTATTTTACTTTACGTAGATATTTATTGGAAAGTTGTATCGCGAACGCTGAAAATATCCGAGCGCAATGATGGTGAGGGAGACAGCGGTAGCGCGGGACGAATTCTTTAGAGATCATGCGGTGTGCTTGTTCAAACAGTTCTCGATATTGCAACATGTGGCCCAAGATCAAGGGCGTGATCGTAGGATTAGCTGATGGGGATTCAGTCACACACATCTATAAAGACGCGAAGCGTTGTTGGAAAATAAAAGTGTAATCTGCCGCTGAATACTCGGATATTGATTAAACTGTCACAGAAAACATTTTATGAATAACGTGTAACGACTTAATTGATCCATTTATCGGATAATAAACGATAATACTTTATTATGATGATCAGTAGCATACCCAGAAAATTTAGATGGGGGGGGGATGTTATCAAAATATCAATTTAGAAGAAAAAGAACTGTACATTATTAAATTACAATGTTGATAAACATGTTATCTATATTGTATTAATTTGTGTATAAGATAAATAGTTTTATTTATACATCAAATTATTGTCTATAAATTTTAAATACTAACCATAATCATAATAAGTACCGAAATTGATGAAAAAAAAACAAGCTATTGTCCAGATCTTAATTATAATGACAAAAATTAAAAACTACAATAACATGTCATTGTAGATATTATAAATTTACTCAAGTTAGCTACCATATTTTTTTGAGTAGCGGCTGATCTCATGGGGGGGGGATATATCCCTCATCCTTCCCCCCCTGATGATGATAATTTTTGCTCGGTGGTATTGAGGAAGGCATATCTAAATATTTTCATCATCCTCCTCCCTCCGATTTAAATGTCTGAACGCCTGAGACCACCGAATCGCGCTGTTTTTTGACACGTCTAACAAGATGGTTGTTCAATTGGTCGGTATTTTTGTAAGTGCTATTATCGTTGTTAACAAGTTGTGATGCGAACGCGACGACCCGACGAAACCAGATCGCATACGTGCGTGCGAAGACAAAGCCATTACCCACTATAGGTGTACAATGTATCACAATACATTTACAATGTATAATTTGATGGGTCTACTTCAATTAAATCGCCTACGAACGTCACTGGCCTTACCCGCTCCGCGTTCTCTTGCTCGACAGGTGTCTGCTGTTTTAAATCACAACCGCGGTGAACGGAAACGAAAAACATGGAAACGCGAGTTGAACGCGATTCATACTGATTTGTACGATTGCGTCGGACAACGCAGCGAAAGAGAAAAAGAGGGACGAATCTATCACAATATGGATCTGTCGGCGATCAACGCTCGGACGGCGCAAATGTATGATAATGTATAATATACATTGTATATGCGCGCGCGCGCCCGTGTTAAACGAATATTATTCCATGTGTTAATACGCGCTACCATGGCCCACGGTGTGGTGGCAGGAAGGGGAAAAGAGGAAAGAGGAAAAAACCGGAATAAGAAATGTGTGTTTTTCATTTTTTTTGTTTTATCTTTCTCGCTTTCTATCCGGTTGACCTACGAATATTATCACACCGCGGTGGACATACAGGAGCCGTGGTTCTACAAGGGTTTTTGTAATCCGCCGTCACGCACGTAAACGATCGGTTTGTAATACGCCTATATGTAACGTATCAGTTATTCTTCTTTGCTTGGACCGAGGGGGTCGTTAAACTCGACGATCCGGCCCCAGCAGACGTTTTGTAAGTGCCTAGCAGGTATACCCGTATACGAAGCGCGCCGCACGACGAGATGGAATACATAAATAATGGTGCAACTTGAGGAAAAACGGGTTTCAAACGGTCGGTGTATTATTTTTTGTTTCAACATTTTATTCACCGAAACCGGTTCTTCAGTGATTAAAAATCGAGAGTAAGTAAAAAACAAAACATAATCGGAAACGAAGGGAAATTAAAAAAAAAATCAAATCATTAATATAATGCTTAAGCTTAATTATTCCAACGGTTTTAAACGGTACACGCTCAAAGACCTAAACGATGACGTCTTATTAACCTTTCGCCGCCGTGCCATTCTCCCCCTATTCTTCTACGAGTGTCTCCTCGCACACTCTCACCGCTGTATCACTCTCTACCCATCCGTCTTATCTCGACGGTCGAATTGGAATTTTTGATTTGGACCCAGGAGCAAAGAAGCCGCTTATTTCGTCCAAACAAGCACGTGGGAACGGGGGAAAAAATTTTTCCGTCGACCACTGTAATTCGGATTGGGAATGGTACGTCGTGTTAAACGCATTGTAACAAATCGTAACATTTAACGTTGATCATGTCTGCCGCACAGATGATAAGTAACACTAATAACTGTTAACATGAAATATCCGTGAAACAATTAAATTAAAATCGAATCGTACATTAGAAAGGTTACACGACGTACCGGCGCAACTGCAGCGCTGGCCGCTCGGTGTTCGGTACTGGCATTCGCACTAGAGATTTCTATTGCGCCGGATCGTGATGATAATAATTATATTATTACCGCGGCGGCGGCTGCAGTTGCGATTTCCCACGATCGCGACGATTCGCCGAACATGTCGGGTGTTTTATTAAACAAAAACCGTTATTACGCGAATTGACTATGTCGTATTATGTTATGCGGATGATTCACGTTTATCCACACGGCTGCAGGAGAAAAATCCTCGTACGCGAGCGGAAAACTCCACGTTTTTTTTTTTTTTCTTCAAATATCATCCGAGTCGTTTCCTTCAGGGCGATCGGTGCGAGGGCGCGCGCGATGACGACGACGACGACGAAACTCGTAACACGAGCACCGACATCGGGCGGTTTGACAAGCGGACGGACGTAACGACGGGGACAAAAAAAAAAATGAAAAAACAAGAAACATTTCACGTCGAGCAACACGTAGACAATCAACGTACCGTAAACGATAATAATATAACGTCGTGTACTTACCGGATCGAGATGGAAGCCGTCCATGGCGCACGTGGTCCCCGAAGAGAGTCGAACGGTAAATAGCGCCGGTAACGCGATCGCGGCGCACAGGTAGACGCACGCGCGCGCTCGCGCGAGACATGCGTCGGACGGGTGACGTAGCGGAGGGGAGACGATGACGACGACGAAAGGGTTCGCGGACTTTTATCGACGGCGGGTTACGTCACGGTCGGCCGGAGGGGCGGAGGGGGTCCATTCCGTCCGCTAGTAACGTTGCCCAAAGTCGCATGACCAATAATTATCAATGTGATGTGTCACGTCCACGAAGACCGGATTGAATGTTGCAACGATTTTTTCTTTCCTCCCCCCCCCCCCCGTCCCTCGCCGATCGCAAAAGCCGTATCCGAACAGGGCCGGCTCCCAAACCTTGGTAAGGGGGAGGTTATCATTTTACAAAATCTTATAACAAAAAGAAAACGACAATTTTTAAAATTGGCGAAAATATCAATAATATGATCTATTTGATCTAGAATATCAACTTTATGATATACATTAATTAGACATTAATGCTGATAGTATATCTTCAGTCATAATTGAACGAAGTCAGGTTTTTAGTCTCCGAAGTGTAGAGAAACTCCTTTCAACCGTCATACCTCTATAGCTCTATCTGCATACTTGTGCGTGTCCATATTGTAATACCTATGCATTTTTTTTAACATTATACATTTTTTTATAAATATGATAGGGGCTTGGGAGAGGTCCGCGGCCCCTAGGGTGCCCCTGAAACCACCCTTGTATGAAATTCATGTGCTCATCATCTTCCTGTACGTACCGAGACAAACGATCCTTTTAGATTCTTTGTTTTCTATGATTGTTGAACTTTGAAACGCGTAGTGACTATTTTCCCGAATTACTCAGTTTTCATATCTTCGAGATCTCTCGCGATTCCCGTCGTCCACGAATCCGCATTGTATTTCGTCGCGATCATAACGATTTAATTTTTTACAAAATACGGGTTTTAGCACAGCAAATATTTGTACAATGTCGTATGCGATCAACAATGAAACACGATAAATCGCAGAAGGAATACGCCTCGTAGAAAAAGAATCGGAATCGAGTGTACTGGAGATTAAATAACACAATTGTTAGCGTTGAAAGCGACAACATTAATAATGATCACCCTGAAATGCAGGTTAATCTTTCTAGTACAATTAGCTGTACAGTGGCGAAAAACGAGCGATCTATAATTCGTCGTCAACTGAGCCGGATGTGGTCTCGCGACATAATGCGAGTATATGAAATATATATGCACTCCGAGAAGATTTGTGGTAACCCGGTCTTCGGTCGCGATCTCCCGCAAGCACAATTAGCACGTTTAACGTTACAAATATTCCTTATGAAAATGTTCCCCAAGTTTCTTTTTGTTCGCACGGGTTCCTCCGCACCGACCACAGATGTCCCGAGTCACAGGGGTTTTCGCGTAAGTACGACACGAATATAACATAGATCATCTAAACCTTTAAACTGAATAAATTAAACCGACAGTCCGATTTCCGTTCAACGAATATTTAACAATCTCGACTATCCGGATATTCGAAAGTGTTGATATTTGTTTACCATTTTATTCGATTGCGTTTTAGGTATTTCATCATATTAAAATAATAATACGTAAACATATTATGATATGTGTGTGTGGCAGCAATATTACTACTCCGTATTCGTATGTGCATCTGTGGTTTATCTGTTTTTTCTTGTATACGAATATATTATTGTGTATTTAACGATATTTATTTTGCTGGAAAAGTAATCTGTTGATAATCCATGTGTTTACATCATCGACTCATTCTTAATGACCATTGCTACGCGCTATTTTTTACTCTACGTTCATTTAATATTACAATGTATGTAAATTAAATACAGTTAATTCGTTTTAATGGTTTTTTGACTATCATCCTAATGCGGCCAATTTAATAATTATATTTCGTACACTATAGTAAATATAATGAAAGTGCCCGACAGTTGAAATAGATTTTCTCTTACATTTTTCAAACAGTTAATTGATAGCCGGCTTACAACATTTGAGTTCTGTTCTGTAGCAGTGTATTGCTCATTTGAATGATTTGATATTTTATTTTCGGTTGAGACTTTGTCCCGAGTGATTTGACCATTACTACTAAACTAATTAGTTGGTTAAATATAATTAGTATAAATGAAAGTGGTCGAAGAGGCTAATTAGAACGTACGAGTATTATTCTAAGAGCAGAGGTAATGTAACTTGAGTCTTTATCTAAGTCAGCCGATGATTCTAATGTGCTAAATGTTCAGAGTTCGGTAAACATCATTTTTATAATTATTGAAGTATTATACTGTACTATAATACCTATATACACTGACTAAGTGGCTAAACAATTTTTACCACGCAAACGTGTATTTTCAGGCCACTTTTTCAAATTAAATTTCTTACTATTATTTTCTTATGGGTAGACGTGTGCTAACCATTTTTCAATTGAGAGAAATATAATGTAATTTGCTTATCCTACATATCGTTAGAAGCTATTACCAATATATTTTCATAATTATTTTTTTCCTTTCAACTTCTTTTGTAAAATAGTATCAATCGTAAAAATATTGGACCATTATTTCATGTATTTGAACCGAGAAACTCCTTTTGAGTACACAATTTTACACAGATATTATTTTATATTTACACAGATATAAAACTACAGCGATATACAGTGTGTTCGCACTAAGAAGTACACCACTTAATTTTACAGTTAGATGATTTTAAATTGAAATAGGGTTTTCGAGGAATGAAAGGGAATTCTAAAATACACAATTTCAAACAAATTTCAAATTGTTGACACGGAAAGTATTATAACTTACATTTTTTTTTAAATGAACACCTTTTTTTTCTACATATTCCAATAAAATATTATTTTAAAACAATTTTGGTAAGAAAAATTTTTTTTCGAATTATAAGTTTAACAAATTTGTAGTATTTTGAAATTTGCGATTGATCTGCTTTTGATGAAATTTTTATAATGTACAACTTAATACTTGAAAAAATCGAAATAATATCTTCGATATTGTTAAATACCTGTTTGTTGACATATGTTATGTATATAATATATATAATATTATATAATACTTAAACATGTTTTAGGAGTTGGTTATAATTGGTTTGTAGAGTGTAATAAATTATAGATATTAGTATGTTTAGTATAAATTGGTAAATTAGTTTTTTATATAGTTTTGAATATCTACTATATTTGATGAATTATGAATATGATTTCACTTGTGTACAAGTTATATCTTAAACTTGATTATCGACGTAAAAAACTGCAGTTCGACTATAAAATCTATCAGGATACAGAGGCACAAATCAAAGGGAGCAGAGGACAAATAAGGGTAATTAAGAGGTTAATTTGGTAGGTGGGTGTCCAATTAATTGACACTCGATGGTAAATTTTCAGGCATAACAATAAACATATATATATATATATATCAATACACTTGTATTGCGTAATTTATATTATGTGAATGCAGCGACCAATTTTTATATCAATATGTTTTGCCCCTCCTCTTCATTATTCCAACTGGTTTGCGCCTCTGCCAGGATCTAAATCATTAATTTTTTAAATGATAAAACCCAACTCGCAAGAGAAAATGTTTGGCAGCAAATATCAGACGTTAAAAAAAATAAAAAATTAAACTTGTAAGCATAATTACATTGTATTCAATAATTGATTCAAAACATTGAGGTAAAAGCCATGAAAGTATATTTATTTTAGGTATAATATCAAACAATTTATTTAAAGCTAAAACTTGGATTTATATTTTTTTTATATACAACTAGAAATATTATAATATTAGATATTAGAACTAAATTTTTGTCTGCCATGGGCTTGCAATCTCTGCACAATAATATCGCAAATCATGTTCAACTAAAAATAACAAAGCATTAATTACTTTCAACACACCAAGTCGCTTTTATCCCGATTGCTCGGAGAGCCACTCTGTTCTCGCCTATATAATACGATGTGTAGGCGCATTCAGTGTGCATTATATTATTATGCGTAATATGCGAGTAAATAAAATTCAAAACACTTTAGTGAACACCAATGTTAAAAATATCGATTATCCGTCGTTTACGAAATGTAAAAAATCATGAACATTGAAAATAAAGCTCTCGTGTATTATTACCATCGCATAACGTATACAACTTCTATAAAATAATAAGAATAAGAGTAATGATTCGTTTTGTTTGTTGAGAAGGTCGTACACAATGTTGTCCGACATCACGTAATCTTCAGTGTCCTATCGAGGTTCACTCAATATTTATACTTGGTGTGCACAACATTAATACTACGATCATAAATTGCTAATAAATATAGTATATCATATGGTATTGTATTGTTATAGCATTCGGTTTTACAAGCTTAGTAATTATGTGTTCAAACACGATAACGATCTAATGATTACACGATATACAAATTTACATTCTTATCGTATTCCCGATATTGCAATATCTAATACGATCGATGAAGAAAACAATCGAAGATATGCCATTAAGCCGTGTGTGAAATGTCGATGAAATCGAATGGTTACTTCGTATATATTGCGTGTATTGATTATATTATCAACTCTTTCCTTTTGCCATACCGTGAGAATCACATACTATATTACTAAAACATTTTCCCTCCTAACTTGTATTAAATTAATCTACGGTTCAACAAAAATTGGCTTGAATAATGGTATTACGTGTTGTTGCTCCTTGGCCTTTAATAAATCAATTCTGAATATGATTGACTCTGCCTTCAAAACGATTTCAACAATTTAGTTTTATAGTTAAATAATCATGGTCTATCCTTGAGCGTTAATAAATAGTAGATTATACTTTTTAATCCAATCCCGTATCCTTTTTGATTGCTCCCTAAATGAACACTTCCTAACAGGAGTGATTAGTAAAGTAAATCTGGGTATTCTCCTAACCTTTGATTTAGATTACCATCCTCACATCTAGCACGTCATCTGTAAGTTCCTAAAAAAACTTGGTTTTATTAAACACTTATTTCAAACTAACTTATTGTCTAATAAGCCT